TCCTTTATAGAGCAAACCATTCAAAGAGGCAGCTTTTGCTCCTCTTGTATACGTCTTCATTTGAGTCATAATGGAGAAGGTTAAGAAAGGAGAAGTTCTCCCGTGTTAACAGGTTGTGGCAGAGATATATGGTTGATACAAAAGTGAGTCTGCAGGGAACACATCCTGCTCAATGAGCTCTCCAACAAAAACCAAACTTTGCAAAAACAATAAAACACAGCAAATGGTGTTTATTGTCAAAGTGTAGGAGTAGGACAATGTTATATGTGCATATTCAATATTGTGTACTCTAATTGTGCAACAAACTAAGCTACAGTATATACAGACATCATTAACTGCTGATAGCTGGATGACAGTTATACTGTATAACAGTAAATCTAGTTGGCCGGCAGCTTGGGCAGGACAGCCTTTAGAGAAGACCCTCAGAGTGCCCAAGACTTTGGTATCATCTGCATCAAATGCAAAATGGTGACTCTTACTCTTACAGTGTAATATCAATCAATACAACTAAACACATCCATTTAACATCCACATGAATATACTCAATGCAACAAATGTTATCCAGAACAAACTCCCCCCCCCTCCCGCAATCCTTTTCTCTCCATAAAATCCAATAAAGGTTAAACAAACATTTAAATGTTACATATCCCATTAAAAGTAAGAGAATAATGTTATGAGACCCCCCCCCCCCCAAAGTCTAGATAGCAACGATGCTTTGTGAAAAATATATGTAGAGTGAACTAAACATTTACATGTTTTTACAGGTGGAAAGAAAACAATCGTTATAGACATAACTCTTTTCAATAATAATAATACAGTCCCACAGTCTTATGAACATGCTATGGTCTCATGTTACTCACTCCGATCACTGTCCATGTGACGCCAGGCCCTCAGCCTGTCACAGGGTTGTGGTTGTCAGTGTGTGTACATGTTTCTAAGGGTGTGTGTGCATCTGTATGTCAGTATGAGTGTGTTTTCAGGCTCAACAGTCCCCTGAGTTGTGCGAGTGTGGCCCGGTCTCCAATTTCCAGTCTCTCTGGTCGGTGGCCTCTGCCTGGCCTGATGTGGCGGGGGACTGGGTCATCTGTCTGCGGGGGTTTCCGCTGTGCATCGTGTTCCAGTGGCGCTTCAAGTCAGACGCTTTGATGAAGGCCTTTTCACACGAGCCGCAGTTGAACGGCCGCTCGCCCCGATGCTGCCTTTCGTGGTCTTTCAGGTGAGATTTGTGCTTGAAGGCCTTTTCGCACATTTGGCACGCAAAGGGCCTCTCGTTGCTGTGGACCCTCTCGTGCCTCTTGAGGTCGGGGCCCCTGATGAAGGCCTTGCCGCACACAACGCACCGGTGAGGCTTGAAGCCGGAGTGGATCTTCAGGTGCTCCTTGAGGTGGGCGGCGGTAGTGAAGGCTTTGGGGCAGTGCTCGCAGGCGTAGGGCCGGTTGGCCGTGAGAAGCCTCTCCTTTTTGGCGTTGTGGTCGATGGGCTTGGCCCCCGTGGTCTGGCAGGTGCCGTGGTCGCGGTGCCCGTAAAGCAGGTACTCCAGCTTCATGTCGCTGGAGGAAGTGGAGCCCCAGCCGTGGCTGTGAGGGTCTTTGCTCAGGTTGGCGTTGTAGTTGTGCGGCTGAGACACGTGCGAGCCCCCGGCGCTCATCCCATCCATCCCCTGGTCGTAGAAGCTGTTCTTCCTCACCTCCTCCATGGCCAGCTCCTTCAGGATGGCGTCCTGGGCTCGCAGCCCGTGGTCCCAGGAGCCTGGTTCTCCCGGGTCTTCATGTTGGTCAGCTCACGCTTCTGGGTGCACAGGTTATCCAGGAAGTTGATGCCCAGGATCTGTCCGGATGACATCATCATGTTGATGTCCTTCTTCCTCACTGCCAGCCTGGCTGTGTACATGTAATTGAGCACCTCTTCAAAGATGTCAGAGCGGATGAAGTCTAACTCCACGATGGAGTTGTCCTCTTCGGTCTGCTTCTTGAAGAGCTTTTTGAAGTAGTTGCTGCAGGCTGCCAAGACACAGCGGTGAGCCCTGAACTCTATGTTTTCCACCACCACCACCACATCACAGTGCTCACCTTCCATCCTCTGCTGGTTGAGCATCTTCAGGAAGGTGGCTTTGTGGTCATAGTCGATATATCTCATTAAATCAGACATGTTGCACTTCGAACTGGAGCAACCTGTGGAAGAAAAACAGAATAAAGTCAAATATGTTTGCCTTGCGCAATGAAGCGGCATGCATACACCGCGCACAGCTGAGGGGTGGAGCTCTGTTTGCATGCTTCTTATGATAATACATACAGGTTGGCTAGATAAGCAAACATTTATACACAATTATAATAGTTACTTGCAAACAATAATGCATTTTTCTTTTTGCAAATCGTACAAAAAAAAGGCAGAGCGTAAACAAAAGTAGCTAAATCAATCATGCAGAAAATATCTGGAAAAAAACACGAGAGGCCCGACAGCAGTAAAAGCCGCAGTTACGCTAATAAAACATATACACGGCAACAGAAACAAACAGACGCACTTTGTTTAACTTCAGTAACGCGTTTTAGCCGCTCGGATCGCGTGACAGTCGCGTCGCGTGCAGAATGGATAACCTTATCAGGAATATTTCACATTTCACTGCGCCCAGCCATTTTGGTCAGCAGCAAGCCTCCATTGGCATGTTTCTTTAAAAGCAGTTCGCAAACAAGCGGAAAACACGGGCGGCGGCGAACAAAACGGCGTAACGAAAACGCGCCGTGTGGTTTTCCTGAGCCGTCCAAAGCCACAAAGTAGAAAATAGGAAATGTTAATACCCGAAAGCACTGAACGCGATCCCTGTGTTGTCACGCAAGGCAGTCGACGACGATCCAGAGCTGTCGTTTTTCCTCTTCCTCCTCTTGTTGTGACTTTAGGGTTGCACAGGAAGCGCCGCGTCGCTCTGCCGCCACCTGCCGCACCGGAGCGAGAACTCCAACGAGATCTTCTATTCACGAGAGGATGAGTCACTCACAGGATGCTTCATTTTAGATTCTGCATAAAAACTAATTAAATTATATTCAACGGTTTAAGTGTCATATGATATGCACACAAGCTGCAGTGTAGAAACGGTGATGAAAATATGATGTCCCGAGCTCCTCCAACAATGCAAAAATAGTAATATAAGATTTAAAGATCCCATGTAGCCTAATGCTTTTCCGGTTATTACCTGTCCCCTTTTGTGTTAGGTTTTTATGCATGTAAACGGTCTGCAGAGTCAAAAACCCTCAAAGTACACCCTGTAGCGAGTAAAACTCTAGGGGGGGGGGGGGGGGGGGGGGGGGGGCAGAGAGTGAATACCGGTGAATACACATACTATACAGAGATGCTGTATGTGAAACCAATGTGAGTTTGGAAAATTGCACAGTATACATCCATTTTAGTAGACCTCAACAATGGAATTATGATCAGTAGAAATGGCCATGACATGGGACCTTTAAACAATAAAACAAAAAAAGGAAGGAGAAGTCTGTATACACGTAAAATGAAATTAAACACGGTTTATTATGGTGATAAATATTTAGATAAAGAAAGAAATTGCTAGATGACATTCTGCATCAAACCAAATATAAAATGGTCTGTCACTATTTTATCTAAATATAACCCATTAAGTAAATCACAAATAAATTAAACGTTTTATTTCAGTTGTTGACAGCAAATGTACTTGACTGAAGAACAAAGTGTGATTCATATTATTTTATGATTGCACATTTTGATTTAGCCTTTAAAGACTTAAATAAATTGAAATTGGAAGGTGTAATAGTAAATAACAAACTTTTCAATCTCATTAGAAACATTTAAAAGTGATGAGACTAATTTCCCCTTTTTTATATCCTATCTGCAAAACATTTCTTATATGTAATTTAAAGACTTTGTTACTGCTTGTCTTGCAACAATAATAAATGCATATTACTGACAACATACCTAATTAACTATTTTAGATTTGCATTTGATCTATTGGTGGTTTAATCTCTAATGCACATACCCTACATGTGCTTAAATTATCAACACAAATACAGTAAGTCCCCATATACTCAGTTTTTGGAAATAGGTTCGTCAAATGAAATAAAGATGACTGATATTAATTTTGTTCTGACTTTTTTCTTGATCCACATCTTAATGAACATATTTATTATCCAACAAGTACCATTATCCTTTTAACCTATGGACTTGTGCACATCTTTGGTCAATAAAGTACATTCCTGCTCAATCCTGTAGAGCACTTCTGATATACAAAGCATTTATATCAAAGCATCTGTTGTATTTTTCACATTTTCTATCATTATTTTATTTTACATTATACCGCTTTGTATTTATCTTTGTCCTCTAAATCACCAAGACAAATTCCATTCAAGTGCAAACCTCTGATTCATATATGTACATTGATCATTATCTTACCAGCAACAGAAACAGAGTGAGAGCTCTTCCTGTGTTCAGCTCTTTGATCCTCGCGGGCACACACGCACGTACACAGCAGGCGGAGCTCTGCAGCCCACGTGCCTTCACCATAATTACCTATAGCTTAATTACCCGAGGGCGCTTCAAACAGAACAATTAAGCGATCCGAGCATTTCGTTTAATGAATAATAGACGGACTGCGATTTCCAAATTCAACCCCCTTCCATTAATATCATGATTTATTTAAAAAATGATGTCTGAGTTTATAGATTATAATAATCACATGTTGTACATCAGGTTATTTCAGTGCCTGAGGATAAGAAAACTGCTCATGCTCCAACAGTTAGGTTGTTCTAGATTTGAGCTTATTTGGAGTTGATTCAAATATGAACAAAATAGACTACTTTAAAATGACTCAGTGCCACATATCATTGCTTTTTAAATCATAATATGAATCCATGGTATTTCATGGATTCTTATTAAAAAAGGTCACAACTGGTTAGTGAAATTAGCAATTATCCCTCAAAACTAACTGACTCTTAAAAAAGTATTAATACTCAATCAATGGGTCCAACGGTGACAAGTTTTGGTACTGTGGTAAACATTTTATTATTTGAGAAGGAAACGGCAAAGTAAAAACAAATGCATTTTCCACTTTTATTTCACCACTTTGAGGAAAACATGGCTGTACAGGAACACATCTTGGTTATTCAGATACAGTTGGACAGATGAGGGAGGCGTAAAGTTGACATGTTCGAGGTGGGCGGGGGCGGGGTTACAGATCTCTCTTGGCTTTGCTTCTAATTTGGGCAGCGCTCGGCAGTCTGAGCCCTTTTCCTCTCAGTCACACAAACCTGGGACTTGCGTGGCAGCCGATCATCGACCCTGTGAACATTCAACGCCCCCGCGCAGGCGCATTACTATTTCTTTCACCGAAATATTGATTCCTTGGCGTTTGCCAAAACAGACCCTATTTTAGGTGGAATCAATAAATTAGAAAACAATTAAAATGCTGAAATTATCTTTAAAAAAGAAAAATGCAATTCAAGTAGACGTGAGAAAAAAATCAACCGTGAAAGATAATTTGCTATTCTCCTAGGAAAGCTTTGATATGTACAGAACCGGGCCGTAGTGATTTCTGTAGTGGCAAACCTGGAAATCATCATGTTGTTGGAGTGAGGCGATGCTTGCTGGCAAATGAACGTGGCACTTCTACAGCAAGGTTAAATAGTGTATGCTCCGTATACAGCCTACAGCGATTTCTGGAGTGATGGCTTTATTTCATAAATAAAACGTCGCTACAATAATTATTCTCAATAATCATAACAATGCATCAAAGTCATAAGGCAGTGAAAGCAAACCGTTTGCTTGCCGCGCACACAGGGATTCGGCGTGCAGGCGGGATCGAGAACCATTTTTTATTTTTTTTTAATCGGACGGCTTTCAGTATAATCTTGCCGTTTGTTTGATAATGCAACGTTGCGTCCTTCTCATGCAAGATGCATTCATGTATTTTGCAGGTGATGGTTGCGACAAGCGGAGAGCTGCAGCATTCGGAGAGTAGGAGCCGTTCTAGTCTTCTGAGAGTCTCGGAGTATTATGTTGGAGGTGGATTCTGGGAGGTTGAACAGAAAACAGCCCTCAGTGTTACTCCTAGAAGAACAGAGAAACAGCAGTGAGTACATCATGAATATTTAATCACAGATGACCCTTCAGCCACAGTGCAAGCTGCCAAAGACAGGAAAAGACCCTGATAAATGTTTATGGCAATGTTACCACCATAAACAGAGGGACTACAGAGTCACAGCAATGCACACACAACATAGATACACACAGGCTTCAGGATGAGGTTGAAACTAACACACTAAATAACTATGCTCCCAGTGGGTCTACTATTCTACTGCCAATTCACAGCCGAGGAATAAAGCATCATTCTCTTATCTCCTACTATGCGCTTTGAATTGTAATAGTAGCCTACTAGTAAACCATGCTTTAAAAATCCCAATGAATCTCATATGTGGCCTTCATAAAATAAAAAGATTTGGAGAATTTGCTGCTCAACATGGAGGGATTCTAAATTTCAGCACTTTATGCAAAATATAATTATTCTTTTATTTTAAACAATTGGAAATGTAGTTTATCTGATGGATGTGTTAAGTTATATAGACTTTGAGATTAGTTAGGGTTATTCATAAATGTTATGTGATGCAAGGGATATACTGAATCATGTGGCAAAAGAATAAATGTATTTAAACCGGATATTAAACGTATAGATGTGATTGACTGTGCAGCTTTCGAACCCACTGTAAAGCCCTCATTACTTGAGTATCATTGCGTAATTCAGTAAACTAACGACACCTCTTGGCTGGCATCTTATATGTTTTGTATCATTTATTTTTTTAATTAGAAGTTCTGTATTTTTAAAACAGGGATGTTGTTCCATAAATATAGTATTTCTGCTGATGAATTATTATCATGAGTGATCAGTTCGGGATGCTGACAGCCTGATGAAGGGAAGATGGCTTGAAATGTTTGGTTAATAAAGCTTGGTATGCTGAAGACGTGCTTTCATTTTGAAGGACTTGGAGCTCACGCAGGTCAGCACCTCGCTGCGTGTTTGTTCTCAAAGCAAGAAATTGTTTGATTTAAATGTTTACTCTTGACTACTTAAATGTTGTTTCTGATACCCTTGATCCCCAACACACTGTGTGCATCTACGGTGGACACGCATCCAAATGAACAGAAAAACACATTCAGCATCCTGTTAATAGTGGTAGAAAAAGGAGTTCTGACAGAAATCAGACACGACTGAGAGCAAGGCCGCAGAAACAAAGCCAAGCATTCCCATGTGGTGAGTCACACAAGTACACACATGCATGCCCTTCATCCCAAACCCTGCGCCTTGGGATCTCTTAAGTTAAGAGCGAATGAAATAACAAGCTTCAGAGCCAAAAAGGTGAATTAGAATAAACTGGACAAACCCAGTTTCCAGAGAAAAGGAGGCGAGGGTTTAACAACATGCTGTGGTGCCATGGAATGAGAGGGTCCCTCACGCAGCTGCCACACCTGAAATAATCCTCACTACACTGCCAGCGGGCAAGTTGAAACACAAATGGCTGCATTTGTGAAGTTTTCAGTAACACAGGCAGAAGGACTGCTGACCTATCATCCCCCCACCACAGAAAGGAAGAATGCAACTGAAAAGAGCCATATGTCACAAATAGTTTGAAACACAAGTGTCCTAAAGAGACAGTTTTAACTCTCAGATTCATTTTGCTCATATTATTGGTATACGTGGCCATGTATGGATCTGCCCAGGTAAGGAATAGGATTTCTCTTGTTTGGACTGAGTTGAAAAAAAGACTAAAGCTTGTCTTTGTTCACTCGAGATCAGATTTCAGTCGATACGCTCCTCACTGTCTGCAGACAGACAGTGAGGAGCAGGAGCCGGTTCTGCCGGTATTTAATCGCTCATCACTGTCGGGGCCCTTTGTGAGGAGACACAATGTAAACAAAACAATGTCGATCAATGTTTTTACAGAATATTGCATGACATGCAGGTACATCGTTTTCAACCTTACTAGTTTTTTTCTGTACTGTAAACACGTCTCCAGTTCCCACATGGTCTTATTTAGGGAAGCAGGTTTTACATGATTTGGTTAGTTTGTTTTAGAAAGCGACAACCCTATTGTCTGAACATAGGTGGGGGGGGGGGGGGGGGGGGATTATCCATGTTACATGGTCTGTCTACACAGCAGCTCTCTCTAAAAAGAAGCATTGTTTCTTTCCAGCAGGGGGCAGTGTTGCAGTCGTATTACAGGAGATTGCATGAGACTGCCAGGAGCATTGCTGTAAAGCGTTTTAAGCCTTGTCATTAGAGTGGAGACTATAATATCCGGTGTGCACATCAGCTGACCTTTTCCCTGCAGGGGGGGTGAAGCTGGGATGACAACAGCATGATGCATTAGCTGTGAGTGCTACAGGAGCAGGGCTGTCTGCAGCAGGAGGAAGAAGTGCTGATGGGAAAAGCAGCATGCCCAAGAATGGAGACCAGCTTGAAAAAGACCAGATTACAAACGGAGAGCCGGGACCAGGACTGGGACCTAGTGTTCTTACCTGGGTCAGTCCTCCCCCTCCTCTGGCGTGATCTCTGTCTCTTTATGAACCACTACTTTGGTCACTGACATGTCAGGATGCTGTTCTTTAGCCTCCTTTATGGCCTGAGCCAGAGCCTACATACGGGAGGGTGCAGTGCCAGAAGGGGTCACCAGGGGGAGACAGAAAATGGGGAAGGCGGGAGGGAGGGAGGGAGCGGGGATGTTTGATTGTGAGTCAATATGCCAACAGGGAAGCCACTTTTAGTTACATTTGTCATACTTCAGTATTTGTTAATGTCACATCACAAGTTAATGTTTCGTCTAAGTACTGTACTGTGCTCGCAAAGTATAAGATAACGTCCTGAGGGCTCACGGACATTTTACTAACATATTTCTTGTCCTCTTATTGACTGAGAAATACAGTAAAGATACAGAAGTATAAAGGAGGAACGTCATGGAAACTGACTGACCTCATCGTGGTCGATGTCTGAGTCTCCCGTGATGACGATCCTTTTCTCAATTCTCGTCTCCGATATTCCTCCTTTCACCATCTGGACAAGAGAGAGGAGAAAGACCACTTTAAAAATCAATGTATACATAAAAGATATGGAAACAAATATCATCGTTAAGCCTTATTAAACAAAGTTAAGTAGTACTACAATAATATACTTTTCAAGTCTAAATCCTTGAATGTAAATCCTTACACTGAAATGTGTAACTTTTGTTTAATTCATTCAAAGATCGGTTAAGCAGTTTAAAAGCAAACACTAACTGGTTGCAGCAATTGAGAATATATTTTTGGTTTTCCTATCTACCTTTAGCTTCTTTGCTGTTGGACAGAAAGGAAAGGCAATGTAGGAGTGATCTTGAGAACTTATAGTGGGTATTTTAAAATATTTTCCGCAATAAAAGGACGTTTGTTTCTGGATATTTCACAAGTTAACACAACTTTAATACGGACGTCTCAGGGGGCTGACAATGTGTCTCAAAGAGCACACACACTGCAGTCGTGTTTGCGGATTCAAGTGTGAAGAAACCAGGAGGGACAATAGACGACCTCTGACCTTTGTGATGTGTGTGGTTGTCGTGGTGCTGGTGGTTTCCGAGGTGATGGTCTGAGCACTCAGCAACACCCCAGGGTCTACGTCACCGTTAGTTTCACCCTGTTGATAAGACAAACACTCATTTTATATTTATACTCCAGATAAACAAACTACTATCTACTACAATCAGCGTATTGAATAGCCCGCGTTAAGGAGCCACTACAGGAAAGGGGAAACAGAGCATGATAGGCCCTCTTTAATATTATACACACAAACATATTCATTATGCTATACTAACTGCACTTTATTTTGTTATTATTTAACGAATGTATGCATTCTGCGTGTCTTTGTTGTTTGTTGTCTATTCTGAATGTTTTGATGGCACTTTAAAAAGAGTAGCTTTGCTCTTCTCGTTGTACTTGTATAATGAGAATAAATGCTTCTATTCTATTCTATTAAACAGTAAAAGTGAATATTGACGATACATTCAACAAGACACAAACATGACTTTAACTTAATGCTCATCATGCTATATGAATAAGCAATTAATACGAATCAATGATTGTTTCAGGGCAAATCAGATAGTATTCTTTCATTAATTTAATGTCAAATGACAGTAGCTTTAATTTCGTACCTCTGCAGACTCATAGGTGATAGTTTTTGTCTCTGTGTGGACAACAGGCACCTCTTTGGTTCCCACCTCGATGACATCGAGACTCTGATGGGCAAAAAGGGAAACACCGGGCACAAATGAATGCATGCACCAAAACCATCTATGCTTATTTAGCCGTCATGTCTGACACAAAGTGTTGCTGTAGGTGTTCACTGTACGCCTTTGTACTAAAAATATCCCCACACTGTTATACAAGAAATGTAATTGACAGAAATAAAAGCCGCATGCTAATGAAGTAAGCCAAAGGCCATCATTGAAGGGCTTACATCTCTAAACGAGCATGCAGTCATGCATTAGTCCCTGACCCAGTGAAGGAGTGGATGCTGGAGAATGCAAATCACAAGGTTTCGATCAAGAGTGAGCACCACATCATATTAGCAGGTCCCCCGAACAAACTATGAAGTTAGACGGGTATATCCATGCTTTTTGGTCGAGTTTTGGCCGTGATTATTAGTTGCAGATTGTGCCGGCAGGAGGGGAAGGTGGAGGTGAAGTTACAGGAGGAGGCTGAGCTGGAGCCGAAGCAGCGTTACCTCCCACTGGGACACGGCTGGCGGAGGCACGTCGTGTGGGCGGGACTCCTGCTCTGGTTCCTCTGATTCACGATTCTTCAATAGTTCAGCTTCATCTATTTCTTCTGGCGTCACAGTATCTTCTCTTACTTCTGAAAGCTTTTCGTCATCACAGTCGTCGGCCAGTTTCACATTCAGCTCTTCTTCATGTTCTTCCTTCTTTTCATCCATCTCTTCCTCTTCTGAGCTGTCCGCCTGTGCGTAGTGGAATTTATCTTTATCAAAGGACAGCGTTTTCACGATGTCTGGAAACATCTCTCGTTCTTCCTCCTGTGCATGTGAACATTCATCCTTCTCTTCATCCACTTCCTCAACACCATTGTCTACATCTGTTGGGAGCTTGTCTTCCTCGAAGTACTGCACTTCATTGGAGAACTTGACTCTCTTGCCATCTACTTCTGTGTGCTTTCCCTCCCGTTCATTTTTACTTTCTAACTCTTCTTCCAAAGCCTCCAAACTACTTTCTGCTTCACCGGGTTCGTCCTCTTTCAAGGTCAGTTTCTCTTCTTTTTCGCAATCTCTGATGTAGACAGGATCGTTTTCCTGATTTGACATCGACGCCTCCTCCTCCACTCCTGCATCCTCTCCCTCCTCCTCTAAGACCTCCTCATTTCCCTTTTCTGCCGCTGGGGTCGGCTCTGGAGACTCTGTTGAAGCCCTACTGCCACAAACACTCTCATCTAACCCTACATGTGCTGCCTCTGTCTGATGTCCTGCTACCAGCTCCACAGATGCACACTTTTGGAGCTGTTCAGTGCTTGAAATATCATTTTTTCCCGGTGCATCTTCCAGACTATAGTCACTAATATCCTCGTGCAACACAACTACATAATCTCCCCCCCCCTCGGCTGTAGTTTGCTCTGCCTCTGAGGTCTGGATATTCACCGTTGGCCCCGTCGACTCGGCTGGTGCTGCCTCCGTCTCCGTGGCAACGACCGCCTCCTCCTGCGGTTCAGCGGATGTCTGTGAATGATAATTGAACCATTAGATTATGTTTTTTCTCCAGTGTGACAAAAATAAAACCCATTCAATACACAGGGCAGGTTTCACATCTCACCTGATAGAGAAAAGGGTTAAGTGGGTTATTATTAGGGATGTAACAATACGCATGATTGGATATAACTCGAGATACTGGATTCACGATTTTCTCACAGATGTGTTTTAAACAATGAGATTGAAGACTGAAAATGTATAAGTGACAAACCTACAGAATCTTTTACTATATTTTCTTCAAATTATAGAACATCCTTTTATTTTTGAGGTAGAACTATGCAAAGTAAAAAATGTTTCCTTTGTTAAAGTGAAAATATATTTTGTCTGTAACATAAAAAAAACTAGATTGCAAATTTGTGTAGTTTATTTTCTGATTAATCTAAACTAAAATGCTGCCAAATGTCCCAATTAAAACATGATGGCACATCCTCAATGTATACATCTTCACCTGCATACTCTGCATGTCTCTGCATCTTGATACAGATGGTGACACGCATGATGAAACAACTCAAAAGAAAAATCCATTAACATTTGAGTTGATTTGAATCGTTGCATTTTTGTATTGCAAATTGACTGTCTTGTGAAGTATTGTTACATTCCTTTGTATTATACATTTTCAGATTTGTACTATAAATTGACACACAATAGGCACACATATTTAAAGACAATTAAAGTTTCAGTTACACAAAAAAACAATGCAATGTAAAAATCTGCGAGGACCAGAGAGGAGGGGTCACCTTTTCAGAGGAGGAAACCCATCCCAGCGTAGACTGACGGTACAGAGGGATGGACACAGACAGACAGGAAAAGAGAGGACAGTCAAAAGTCACAGTGAACACCAGACACGGAGCAAAAGGAACGAGGGTGGAGAAATAAAGGGTTGGAAAAAGGGAATATTATGGATTGTATGGAATACCGGTGTTTAACAGCAAATATCCTCTAATCTGCTGGATTATGGCAAAAATCATAATCTCGATTATTTGGGTCAATAATTGTAATTGTGATTATTAAATGCGATTATTCATTGACTTTGAAAACATCTATTTATTGGAGAATTTTTTTTTGAACAGCATGTTCTGAACAGTTGATTACCCTGAACTTAAAGTATAATTCAACTGGAAGAAAAAGGGAAAAAAAGTAATATAAATTAAAAAAAAAAAATCGTTTTATTTCGATTACGTTGTTTTCGTAATCGTTGCAAGTCATAATCGTAATCGCGATTAAAATACGATTGAGCAGCCCTAGTAGACCCATACAATGTGTTTTCTGACATGTTAGAGGGGCAGAGGGGGTTTTGGAAGATGAGGTGGGGAAAAGCTGCAGTGATGGCACTTAGCCAAGAGCTATGAAGTCACTGCTTTCAGCAAACAGATAAGAGCTGAAAGAAAGAAATGGTGCAGCGGAGCAAAACTGTGGGAAAACAAACCCATCTCTTTCCTTATCAGCTGCGGGAGCCAGCTGCTGAGGCAAGGTGAGCTGTTTTTAGCTGTCAACAAACTCAAAAACAAACCCAAAACAAAAGAAGCAGCGGGCCCGATTGCAACAGAAACCGGCGGTTTGGCGAGAGAGTAAACGCTGGGTGTTAAGGTTAGCCATGCAGAGCGTTTGGTTACACTGTTGTTAGTCTGGTTTGGCTGCTGCTGGAGGGAAGGCAATGGGGAAGGCTGAGGGAGGTGTTGATGGTGGAGGGATGGAGGGAGGCAGCCAAACCCAGTTGTTGTTTTTAGCTTTTATACAGTACCACTGCTAAGGACGTAGGAGAGGATTCAGAAATGGTAATCAGGCCGGACTTTGACTGCTTCGTTTGGGCCTCTTCGAAGAAATCTATCTGCTCCGCTTGGGCCTCTTCGAAGAACTCTGACTGCTCCGTTTGGGCTTCTTCGAAGAACTCTGTCTGCTCCGTTTCGACCTCTTCGAAGAACTCTGACTTCTTCGTTTGGGCCTCTTTGAAGAAATCTGTCTGCTCCGTTTCGACCTCTTCGAAGAACTCTGACTTCTTCGTTTGGACCTCTTCGAAGAACTCTGACCTTTTCGTTTGGACCTCTTCGAAGAACTCTGACCTTTTCGTTTGGACCTCTTCGAAGGACTTTGACTGCTCTGTTTGGCCCGCTTTAAAGATGAATATGTCTGCTTCCTGGTTTATGCCGTTAGTCATCTCTTTTACTCCATTTGTCACACTGATGACCTCTGAAGCCTCGGTCTTCACCTCCTCAGATATCCAGGATGCCATGGCCTTTTTAGGCGAGTCGATACCTTTAATCTGAGTCATGTCTTCAGTTTTTATCTCGATCCTCAGGCGCTGCATCTTGTCTTCTGCATCTATACCTACAGAAGTGTCTTCTTTTATGGTTTCTTTCTCTTTAGATGCAGATAGCATTTCATTCTCCTCAGCTTCATCCTCTTCAGGAATGATGGGCTCCTCTTCTTCATCAACAGGACTCATCTCTTTGCCCTCTGTGTCCTCTGCATCTTTCAAAATAATGAGCATCCCTTTCTTGTCACTGATGGCCTGGGACACTTCCTGTCTGACAGCTCCGGGGCTGACCTTCAGCTCCGCCCTCTCCGACAGCTCCTCCTGAGAGTCGGGGGTTTTCTCGTCCACCTCCCTGAGGGTCCCGTCCATGAAGACGTCGTCGTCCATCGTGGTTGACAGACTAAGACAGCGAGGCCCTGAGGAAGTGGCCAAATCTGTCGCCATACTATCCACCACGTATTTCACCAGATATCTTGCCGCCTGAGGAGACACTTGGCTTATTGGACATGGGTCGTTCAAGTTAATAGACAGAGGGCATCACAAAGGCCAAGACAGCGAAGGTAATCTCAAGAGACTATTTATCAAGAGATGGCACACATATTAATACTTGGACAAAGGTGCACTGTTTGGATGTAGCGTTTAACCTTGTTTCTCTGTCTTAACTTAAATACAAAGACAGTCCATAAAAAGATCAGTGTTACTTACATTTATTTTGGAACCTTTATGACCATACAATGTCTTCTTCTTGATTTTAAAGTTATATTTAATATGATTTATATCAGATATGTATTTTTAGGACTAGAATTATTCTAAAAAGCGATAGACCGATGAGAAAAAGCTGAATTAAGCACAACAATGGGAAAACTATAAATGTGAAGTAGTGTAGCTTTTAAAAAAGGCCTCAAAACCCATCTTTTCAATAGAGCCTTTGCCTCGACCTTTTTACCATCCTTTTATTTTATTTCTATTGTTTGTTTTTTATTGCTTTTTCAATAATTCTACCGTGTTGTGTAATGTTTATTTATACTGTTCATGCTCACTGCTTGTAGCACCTCTGGATTTGAAATCAAATATGAAGTGCTTTATAAATTAAACCCATTATTATTATTATTAGTGAAAATACCAAAAACTGTGCCAGTGTCCAGATACGTCTGGAGCTAGGTACAAACAGAGGGCAAAACACAACACCACATTCACAAAATACAAGTTTTCTTCCATGTGAAACAAAGAATGGAAGAAGTTTACCTCAGCGAGTTTAGGTTCCACCTCCCCTTTTGTCTCTTCTCCTGCAGGCAGCTCGTCTTGAGTCTAAAGGAGGAAGACATTTAAAAATTATGAATAAGTTCACACACATTGATACAGGCCGTGTCCAGTGAAAATTATTAATAAGTTCACACAAATTGATACAGGCCGTGTCCAGTGTGACCACATGATCAAATGGACATCCAGATCCTGAAACCCTTCCAGGAGACTAGCATCTTGTTATTTCAGTAATTAGTCGTCAGAGGATTTGCCGCTCATTTGTCCTGCGTTAGTTCGTCAGATTATGTTCGACAACACAAGAAGAAACTCTAATAAAGCTGCTCCTAACTCCAGCATGTCATGATGTCACTAAGCACAACAATCGTATTATTGATTAATGACTGCATCAACCAAGACAACAAGAGATAAATAAATATGTAAATAAGCTCCTAATGTTGAGAAATGGAGAGGAACCATATGACGGTCGTAACTTTAAATGACTCCCCAGATAAAAGTCTCAAGTGCTTCATTGATATGCACTAGAGACATTTGGAATATAAAATATATTGCACCAGGACTCATTTTGACGTAGAAAATATATCTCTCCAGCCCCGTTATGATTACTGAATTTACTGCACTATGACTCGTTATGCAAACACTGGGGATGGATGTGTTTGTTTTGGTAAAGGTCTCCTTGGTGATGTCATGCTTCACACACAAACACGCCGTCATTCAGTCGGCTTCAGCAGCTTACGTCCTCCGGCTCCAGCGGCACTATCATCGGGGGTTCGTCCGCTCTGGGTGAGCGTGCCGGGGACGAGGAGAGTCTCTTCTCCCATTCGGTCAGGCCCGAAGAAGTGTCCCCCGTCTCCAGGAAGGAGCGCTTCAGCTCGCTGATGTTGGTCTGGTGCTTGACCATCTCTTCCGGAGGCGAGGCGTCCTAGAGTAACCGGTCAACCATGACACAAGGAGATGAGGCCAGGAGAAGCGCGAAGGGGAACGACGGCCATGCTTTATGTACGCAACGATAGCTTGCAATAACCAATGATTTACCATAAAAACGTTGGGAAGCATAAAATGCAGCTCGGAAAAAGTCTTGATAAATTAATGCAGACTTTAATGAATTGCATTTTAAGCTTCATTATTCACGTTCAATGTCCACAGTACGCACAGCAACACTATGGCACAATGTTCACTTGCATGGCAGCTGTAACTAAGAGAGACGCAGCTTGTGCTTAAATGCTAAGAGAGCATTTAGGACCAGCTTAATCCAATGAAAATGAAGGATTTCATGCATAGTTTACAAGTTTAGTTAAGCACAACACTCCCAAATCTCATTAGAAGTTAAGACCTCTGCAAACTGACTTAATGCAGTTTGATTTGTGTCACTTTATTGATCAGAAAAGTTAATTTGGATGCTCACAGCAGAAATCTGTTAGATAAAAACTTACTAAACTATTCACACAGGGACTCCAGAAGAATCCAACACTGGCAGAGCTACTGGTATGTTAGACCTATTTGTTATCAGTTAGGATCCTTTAAAGGAAGAGTACCTGCATGCACATTTCAGTCATGCATCTTACCAACCTCTAGCATCAGATTACTATGCTTGATAAATAGGTTTTCCCCTTTTACTCGTCTTATGAAACTATACTGTAAAGACAAAAGAGGGGAGATGAATTGTAGTTAAAAGGTGTTTTGTATAGTTCATTTAGACTTGTTGCTGTGGAGATATTGGGAGCTTTGTCTTCAACTATATGCCAACAAATGATATGATGACACAACTCACTGTTAAAGCAAATGAGAAAAAACCTTGAACAAATGTGAAATCTGACTCATGGGTTCAGCAATGGGAAAAGAAACATGAAACCATCATTTACAAACAATGAGCTGGAATGGCTTTACAGCAGCAGTTTGTGAAGTGAAATCAGGCAAGAGCGAATTGTCAGTCTGGTGTGTGGTGTGATGGTGAGCAACAGAAGGGGCAGCAAGCAAGCCAGCGGATGGAGAGAGGACACAAAGCGACTGATGTCTGAGCGGCTCAGTGCATCTGGAGGCGGGGATGGAGTGATGCACTGAGCAGGGCCATGAAGCGAGCCCAGTGTACCTGAGTGGGCATCTCAGAGTCCTCATCTGCGTCCGACTGACAGGCAGCAAAGAGAGGAGGACAGAGAGTGTTATTAAAAGAGAGGAAACACAGAACGGTGAATCAGGGGAAAGAGAAAGTGAGCAACAAGAATTGGCAAGCAGAGAAATAAGAGAGGGTAAGAAGGGTGGTGGGATTCAATAGAGTAAAGCATTTTGTGACAGAAATTCGCTAAACCCCTGTCCAGTAGCATACGCAACCGTGACTAGGCACTTCAGGCCTGTCAAGCTTTACATTTCTCCACAGAGGTATTATAACAGGGATGCTTTCCAAAAGCAAAAGCGTGAGGTGCTGTAACGATACCCCGCCATCTTTAAGCCTGTGCAGCTAATTAGTTTACCACCCACAGCCGAGTGTTGCTTTCAAAGCCAAGGAGTCAACCAGCAGCTAAACTGCATATGTTTCTGGGGTTATGCTATGTTAAAAAAATACTAAAACAATGTCCTAATGTTTTACTGGGTGGAGGCCAGTCCTTGTTGCTATTAGAGGATAACATAGCGGCTCTATGCTGCTCATTATTGTAAGGATTGTCTTGTCTTGTTATTCAGGGAAATGTACACCAGAGCCCAATGTTACCAGAGATAGCATTACATCTGCAGTCTTTTCTCTAAATACCTTTGACTTGAACCCTTTTTAAGTAAACATTTTTAAAGTTTAGACCAATAAGTGTGGAAGCTGAGCATCAACTTATGTTGGTAAAATGAAATTATAGGCTGATCCAACAGTTTAAAAATGTATTGAATGTATTTAGCGTGCTATCAAAGGCGTATTTCAAAACCCTTTCACTAGATTCTCACAACAAAATGGAAGCTTGACAGGTGAAGAAACTACAGGGGTGAGGTTTAGGAAATAGTATATAGAGAACATAAGTGGAACAGCCTGGGATTCACAACATGACTTTGGCTTGTTAATAAGAAAGCTAGCCAATGGAATAGACATTCAAATACATATACAGTGTGTTTAAAAATATAAAAGAGAAAGGAAAGATCGAAATAGGCATATCAAGATGCATTGCATGCATCACATGCAGAAGTACACACATTCTCCTTATTGTTTCAATAAGCATTACATCTCTGATTCAGCAACACTTTATTCCTCTGCTCCATCAGTACTTGGTTCATGCCTTAAGTATGACGTCTTCCCTTAATGTACAAACCTCTGTGGCAGTCATATCTCCATCAAAGGCAAAGTCGGTTTGTTCGCTGTCAGTCTGCGTTCACAAACCGACCAAAAACCGTTCCGATTGGCAAGCAAGAAAACAACAAGAACCCAAACTGTAAACCCTTTAAGATGCATTGATCGTCAACAGAGATTCTTCATAACCACAGATGGAACGAATGGAAATGCTCAGGCTGTTTCTGGAAGCTACACACATATATCAGACAACCTGCAGATACGGTTAGGAAAAGAACAAAAGAAAGAAAGAAAGAATAAAAAGCAAATGAAAAGTAAGCAAGCAAAACAGACTCAGAGGAAGTTGAAACCTTCGGTCAGTCACTTGGACATCTAAAAGTCATATATCATTGGATTTGGATACGGTTGAATCCTGGTATATTTTTCTAGGTAAAGCATTCTCTGTGTTGTCGCTGGTCAAATTGGATTTGACGAACAGTAACCTGACTTTCAGGCCCTCCTCCCTCCTCTCCATGCATGTTGACACTGAGGATGATTTGGATGCATCTAACTGTCACCGTCTCTCTGCAACCCAGCATGCATTACTCTTTGATACAAAAGGGTGTCGCTTGAGGGACAAAAAAACATCTCTGCACTTTATAGTGGGCTAATTTTAGCCCTTTTCAGCAGAAGTTCTATTTAAATCATTCATTTCAATTTGTGCTGCTTTGCTTGACTCGGATAGTAATGCAGAGAGACTGAGTGCATGGTAACATGGAGGTGTTTTCATGCAGCTGGTGGAGCTCTTAACAGTCATGAAGGTTGATGAGAACACTGATATGGGTTAGGCACAAAGCTTAAATGTTTGTTTTTAATATAAGGCTTGGTGAGAGATTAGTGACTAAATGAAGACAGGTGAGTTCTTCAAATCCTCATTATATCTCTATCAAATGTTAAAATATGTTTACAAAGAACTGCAACATGACAGTGATATTAATTAATGGTGATTTGTTAGTGATGATGCATACTGTACAGCAAATGTTGTCAATGTATAAATGAGTAGTCAAATGTCAGACTTATGTTATTAAAAACTGCTTAATATTTGTGTCTAACCCTTTAATTAAAAAAGGTAGAGTAAATGCAAGCTGGTTACATATGAAACTATGACACTTGCAACTACATCTCTGTGTGATGCAGATGAGGATGTTCCTACAGGATTGTGGAGAGTGAGACGGGACAGAGATGAGGTTCTGAAAGTAGGACAACTGACAGACACTGGGACACACACAGTCTCCAGGTCGGCGAGATACAGGACGGGATAAGGGTTCTACTGTTTAATGAACTATCAGTCTAAGCCAGAGGCGGGCCCTGGAACAAACGTACGCACACACACCTCCTCCTCCTCTTCCTCTGAACTGTCATGGTCATGGTAGCCGTGGGCTATGGATGCGGTCAGGGAGGCTGCCTTGGGCTCCAGGTAGCAGAGGCACAGCGCCAGGGGGAAGGAGAGGGAGATGGCGTACGGGACGGAAAACGAAGTGGACAGCAGGAAGAAGAAGATGAAGAGGAAGCAGGGGATGAGCGAGGGTGACTTAATGGGCATGAAGTTCTGCGCGCACATGGGGAGGAAGCGCATCTCAGACAGATCGGGGAAGGAGATGTATCCGTCCTCGTCCAGGTAGGAGGACAGGTCGGGCAGGTGCAGGGAGAAGGAGAACAGCATGCCGCCGCGCCTCTTGCCCTGCTCCAGCCTCTGCTTTCGGGCAGAGAGCAGCAGCACCTGCTCGTCCAGCAGCGCGGCTTTACGGTCGTCGAGGGCTTGGCGGCGGCGGCAACTGTCGCTGCTCTTGGCCGGACTGACCGACGACGCCCGTTTGCGCGCGCCCTCCCTGCGCCTCCGCCGTACTTTGGTGGATGAAACGGGAGATGAGGGGAGGGAGAGCTCGGAGCGGAGGGGGTCACTCGAGTAAACATGAGGGGAGCACTGATGGAGGGAAAATGTCAACGAAGGGATGACGTGTGTGCGTAAATGGAGTGGAGCGAGAAAGGGGAAGAGACGAATACGCATGAGCACACACACGAGTGTATTGTGGGGTCAAAGGAAAGACAAGAAAAGAAAATCTAATTAGTAAAGCGCACACAAGATGAGAAGAAGCACTCTAGTCTGCTGCAGAGGGTTAAGCTGAAAGCAACTGGGAAATTATCATCAGCCATTAAAAAGTCTATTAAGAAAGAAAAATATTTTAAAAGATTGCAGCAACAACCTGGTGGCATATGACACATTTCATCTCTTTGAACCAAACACAATCAAAGCCTCTTAAAGCTTTTTTATCCACATGAAACGCAGCCCTGAGCCTGTTAGACAGCGCGTTACCTTTGTGTCGTGTCTGAGCGGTGTGGAGGGCTCTGGCGTCGCTGCAGCCATCTGAGCGTCTTCCTGCTCCGCCTTCTCTTCCTCTGCCTTCTTCTCCGTCACTGCGGCGATGATGTCTCCCGTGGCGATGACTTTGGAAACCCCGTCAGCAGCGCTGTCCTTCATCAGAGTCTCATGGCTCTCCGTGATGGGTGCTGCGGGACAGGAAGATGGATGTGACACGTTTTTAAATGTCGTTTTTTTTAAGTCAAAGGAAAAATGTGAGCGGTGGAATAAAGCGTTTGGTTTTTTCCTGCACATTGTTGTTATAATACCTATTGACAGTGCACCACAAAAGTGTGCCAGATATTTGATCTTTGCAGGCTTTTAGACAAAGCACATTTTTCTTTCTTTTTGAAGAAATAAAAAGAGGAAAGAATTCAGAGTTCTTACAAAAGGCTTCTGTCATTTTTGCACGTCAGAAAAAGTACTGTAGCAGCAGTTTTCTTTTAGTGAGAAAAAAAGTGTCCCTTAAAGGTCTCCTATTATACTGTTTTCCATCAATATATTATAGGTCTCATATATATACAAAACATGTCTCCGAAGTGTTTGGCTCGAAATACCAAACAGATCATTGCAGCATTACCCATAATCCCCTCTGTTTCAGCCCTGTTTCAAAAGTGCCGATTCTCTGTCTGTTACTTTAGATGAAAATAAGGAGCCCCTCCCCCTCTGAGAGACATTTGGTTAAGGCAAGGCAAGTTTATTTATATAGCACCTTTTAGCACGTGACAATTCAAAGTGAACACAACAAGAACACAATGGTGCTCTAGGAGGAGATTCAGGTGATAAGGTTGGGGGAAGGGGGGGTTACCTTGGTTGGCGATTGGCTAATGGTTAACCAGTTGAGCCCCAAGCCTGTTTTTCAGGCCTCAGGCTCAAAAACGACATGCCCAGAACAAATGACTATATCTTCACTTCTAAAAAGGGGTAAATTAATGATAAACCTGTGAGTTGGATGCAGAAGAGTCAGAATAAATATAGAATTTTTTTATTTTAAAGTAAATTCAGATTGAACATAGTAAAAAAATGTAAATGATAGTGTCTTGTCCAAATAAAAACCATTACTTATAGTGAAAACCACCCTTGAATGATGGGATAGTAGACTAAAAGCTTTAGGAATCCAAACTATAACATATAATAAGTACCCTGTATCAAGATTGATGCAAAACAAGTGACATTTGACCTTTTTAGAGAGGTTTAGCAAAAAGAAACCCACTTCTGGGGTCATTTGGGTGGATTTGCCATATCTCTGGAACCCATCGGTCGATTTTGATGATATACCCCTATTTTGAACCGTTAGAGCCAATAGAATCGAGGGGAGGTTCCTAAAATCCATCTAAACATTGCCATTGAGGAGTGAGAGTGATGCGCACGCAGTTTGCCCAAAACCGGAAGCTGGGTTGTAGCTATCATAGCAGCTAATAGGATATCTCTGTTTTTGACAAAAATGGAATGATGGATTATCAGTAATCATTTCAAAGTGACACAGACACATTGGATTAACCTATGGATTAACCTTCAGCAGCGTTTTTATCGTTTGAATGCCATTGAACACAACTTTTGATCAGAAAAACAGCAAAGGGAAGACATATTTGCCGTTTTGGCTCCGTAAAGCTAAATTGTGTCTTGTCTGGTTTCGCTGCCTGAGTTTCGCACAGTGATGATACTTATACCTTTAGAATCTGTGTAATCTTAGCTTTTATCTGATATCTGTTTGTGCAGATCCGATAAGTAATAAAGTATTTCTATCGTGAGTTCTGTGCTAAGTGCGTTAGAATTTTTTCGCTCAGGGCTAATTCAGAGGCTTGCCATTACCCTTGTGTTTTGTTTAGCTAAAAATGGTTCATATCGTCAGTTAGCTGAGTTTCTTCCCGTTAAGTGGGTATGACACATTCATAGTTTGTCAAATTTTAAGAAGCCCTCAGACGCGGTTTCTTGCAAGATGTTGCGTTTTGCCCCGGGTCCCGGGGGCTTAACTGGTTACACAAGCCAAAAAAAAGTGGCCAAAATCTGAACAGCTCATTTTCAGACAGGTTTTTATATAAATAGATCAGGACAAAAAGTGAGTGAATCTTTTTTCCTAAAATGTTCAGAGTCTCTTTACACAGAGGGGACACATGTTTATGTATAAAATACATGAAAAAGTGGATTTCGCATTATAGGTGACCTTTAACAAGTTCAGAAAACCCACAATAAACAATAATCTAAAATTAAGAACATCACAAATGTAAAAGGTGTGCAGTAAACCGGAATAAACTGAATAAAGGCTACTTGGGTGGCACTTTAGCCGGCAATTAATGAAACCTCTCAGCTGCTCCTCACCTCCGTCTAAGCTGCGAGACATGTTGTAGCGTTTGCTGGCGGAGCGTTCGAACAGTGGCGCCAGTCTTTGGATCTGAGAGCTCGCCCTGCGGGTCTGAGCCTGCGTTCTGCCGCTGTAACGAAACTTAGAGCCGAGGCTCATGAACTTCTTCGGTGGTGCTTCGGGGGATACAAGCCTGTCACAAGGTACAAACATTCACATTAATCAAAACTGAAATAACACAGATTTAAGCTGCACAATGTAAAACATAACATTTCCTACTCATTTGAATATTCTCAAGAGGGCCCTCAGGCATGGCTCGTTTTTTAAAAAGAGCTTTAGGGAGCTGTTTTTTTGCTTAAAGAAGCAAAAAGATAGATTAAAAGTTGCCAAAATGACAACAACTTACAGTCCAAACACTGTTTCTATTACACTACAAATAAATCACCTATTGGGATTATCAGTAAACATATCTTTACAGAACTAACATGGCAGTTACCAATAAACAAGAAAATATTGCAAAGTTGTTCTGTTAGCGAGTCCAGTTATGGACACGATACTGTCTCTTTTGTGCCAAGGGAGATGTTTTGTAATCACTTATCGGTAGTGAACATACACCTGACACCAGAACAAGTCAATATAATGGCATTTATGGAAAATTAGATGTTATTTTCAAAATGATAAGATACCTACAGCAGTTTCAAAGTTATTTTCTACCCCAGTCAAAGACCCTCTGTTTTTCTTACCTGAAGAAGGTGTGGTGCTCCACACAGACCTTCCACAGCCGCTTTGCAGCGCGATGATTTGGGAGCTTGAAACCAATTGTGCTTTCAAACTGCTCAAACTGCAAAAGAGACAAAACACCTTCACATTCACTACACACTATTTTAGTATATTTTATTAATATAAATGACATTGTTTCTAAGTAATATCTTCAAAATGTAAATCTTCAAAAAAGTAACTCCTTGTTTCCAACACATTTAATTATCCCCGAATCCATATTCCTATCCAATTCTAATGCTTTACTGAATTATAACAGCTGTACAGTGCCAATAAAGTTGATTTAAGTTGACATTATTAACTTGACTTAACGGTCAGGACATTCTATACAGGAATAGGAAGTTTAGAACTTGCTTAGTTTATTCTGCATGTCTTGACATCCATATAATGCATGGAGGAACAGTTATTTCCGACACTTTTAGGTTCTTACCTCGCCAGGACGGATTTTGATGTAGAAGTTGTTCCTCTTGTAGGAGATCTTGAGGATTTTGGGCCAGGCGAACCTGTTGATCCGCAACCTGTCCCTGTAGATGAGCAAGCCACTAGAACAGACTCCCAACATAATCTCCACGCCTTCAGAGTCCTGGGAACAAGAGACAACACAAAAAAGAACATTAGTTTAAGGAACTTCATTCAAAATGTGTACTTTTGAAGACACAGCATCCCTGAAGAAGCCACTGTCCAAAATATTACTTTTCTTTTTGCGTTCAGCGCAACGTAAACTTTACTAAACTCTACAGGAAACACAGGAGATCCAGGCGCCAGTGCACAGCAGGGTAAAGTCAAATTTAACAGAGCCAAGTTTGTGATAATAACAGGGTAAAGCAGGCAGGTGGCGAGTGGAATCAGGCACATGGTACTCTAATCTTCTCTATGCAGGCTGCGGTGACGCACTGTGTGGCTGAAAGCAACAGTGCAGACTTATGAAATGGTGGAAGAAGCACAAAAGGATGCTCTTCGCTGCGCAAAGCATGAGATGAGCAGGTGAAACCAATGGTGACGCTTCCAGAGGGAAGTCCAAAGCAGGAACAATCAGTCTTAATGGGATGTTTAAATAACATCTTGGTATGTAACCATGCACGAGTAGAAACCACACACGCACACACACACACACACACACACGCAGGTAAGCACATGAGATGCAGCCTCTTACCTCTCCCTCAGCTGGAGCCAAGCTCTCATTGAGACTCCCTACCAACTTTGCATTTAATGAGAGAGGAGAGAAGACAAAGAGGGATGCTGGTCTGACATGTACATATTTTTCTTGTGTATCAAAACTGACTCACACATCAAACACCGAGCATTGATGTCTACTCAGTTTGATCGAGGGCGCCTCCTCATCTCTGTCATCTCCATTTTTCTGATCTGTGGAAGCAATATCCTTTCCATCGCTCACATCTACCCCCATTTTGACTTTCAAAGCGCTTTTGATAACCGATTCATATCTAGACTGATGATGACTGTAATTTTCTTTTATGATGACGGCGGTCCTGTAGTTGTAATCCAGCGCTCTCTTTTGATTGCCCGTGTTCTGACTCGTTTGATCCCATCTGGCCGGCGGATTACAAACGGCCAGACGGAAAATCATTCAAGTCGAGCTGCCCCCCCCCCCTCTTTACCCCCTGATTCCACAGAGGCAGTAGTGACATAATGTCAGTCAATCAGCGACACACAGCAGTGGCATGTTAAACTGAGGCATTATTGTGGCAGCTGGCATGTTTGTGAAGCAGCGGTGTTGTGGAGGCAAGCGTCACGGTTTACTGCGTGAGTGGAATGCATTAGTTTCATTTTGTGTTAAAAAACTACAAACATTTAAGTTTATCAAATCAATTGCACACTTTTGAAATGAATCTTTGGAACACAAACCATCACATACGGAGGAGGATTAGGGACACGAGTGACTTTTATTTTTTAGTTCAGTGAAAAGTCACAATAGTGAGAAAAGTCAGAATTCTGAAATTTGTATTTGTTTGAATTCAACACACTTAGTAAAAAAACTATTCTTTTTCAACAAGTGGGATCAGCCATCAATAAACCTTATTTCCTATCACTAGATATTTCATTTTTAAGTGAAAGACAATACCTTTAGGGGTAGATTATTTCTATATGAGGAGTAAGAAGCTTGTAGTGACTCGTTACCTTAGCGTGGTGAAGATCCACGCCGTACATGGACAGCTTCTTGGCATTTTCCAGGAAGTGTATCTCAGCTTCGGCAGGTGTCATCGCCCTGATAGAGCAAACAGATCAGGGTAAATACGATTAGTTATAGCAAATAAAAAGCTTTCAGACCAATGTGAATATGCAACTCTTAAGAGGTAGAGTCCGATAAGATATCGGACTCTACCCACCTCCCATTTTCCCTCTGCTGGTCTATGGCCTTGTAAAGGGTAACGGGGTACATAGTCGCTTAGATAAGCGGGGGAGTGCATCTGACGAAGAGATAGGTTGGTGTGCTCCCTATCTCTGTTTCTTGTCCTATATCTAATAGAACTGCTCGGGTCTTGATAGATTGAGTGGGGAAGTTCATGAGATCTTTCTAGAGGGTTATCAAGAATAACTTTTATCCAATGACCTTTTCCCTCTCTGTCTGTGTCTGTGTATTCTCTTGTTCCGATTAACCCAGCCAAATCTTTTTTCTTGTTTTGCATCTATATCTACGCCGGGATCCGGAGTCGAGGCTGATCCTCTTGCTGTAGTCCTGTGTCTTGGATCCTCTATTCTGAGTTCTGGATTAAGTCGTGGACTTCGGGTCGTGGCTGAACCTGTCTCTGCGGTCCTGCCTTGGGTCTCGCCATGCTGCTTCCCTGATGGCTTCCACAGGATTGAAGCTGACATCCTCATGGATTCATCTTCTTATTACAGACACATGCATTTCCTAACATTCAGTCTATGCTGTAAAATGTATTATCTCTTCGATTTACACACGGCATCTATTGCACGTCTGTCCGTCCTGGGAGAGGGATCCCTCCTCTGTTGCTCTCCCTGAGGTTTCTCCCATTGTTTCCCCTTAAACTGTGGGTTTTCTCCGGAAGTTTTTCCTTGTACGATGTGAGGGTCTAAGGACAGAGGGTCTAAGGACAGAGGGTGTCGTTTTTCTCATACTGATATTCTGAACAATCTGTGCTGTGGTATTTGCTGTAAAGTGTCTCTACTGTAGGCTATTTTTATTTTATGTACAGCACTTTGGCTCGACCAAAAATCTTTATAAATGTGCTATATAAATAAAACCTGATTTGATTTGAAGATATAAAAACGGGGATAAATCAGAGATTAATTGTATAAAAGCTTTTGGAAAATGTTTTTTTTTTTTTATGGATGCTTTTAACCAAAGCAAAAAACAGAGTACTTTGAGTACATCTGTTTTAGCATAGCGGAGTCTTTGGAGAGACATTAATCTTTGCACTGTCATTGCCTTCCTCTATCCAGTGGGCTACACAGGACGGCATCAAATTACCCACAAATCATTGTAATACAGGGACAATGAAGGGCTCAGACAAAATACAGCCAGCTATAAACATCAAAAGGAAAACACAAATCCAACGTCTGGAGACACGCAGTCTTTCAGGACAGATTATTATTCCAGGCTGTAAACATTCCCACAGGTAGACTGTGAGAATCGGGCTGAAAATGCCTTTATTTTACGTATGGAAAAGGTTCACACGTGTGCAACAATGGCTTATTTGTTCTCAAATTGTTCAATCATTGTTAATAAAGGTTGAGTGGTGTACAAATCTTTAAAAAGAGATGCAGGATTATCATTACAATCTAATTATAACAATGTTTAGGGTTTGTTTGCCTACATGTAGTTATCATGCCACTACCAACTTCATCAAACCAGCATAGCTCAGATGAAGCAGAAAACCTCCACTTTTAGAGTTTTAAAATGTGATCTTGGTTATTTAGTCAAGGTATTTCATTGATTTACACATTGATCCATCCCTACATCAAAACATGTTAGAAATCAACACAACAACTGTTTAGTAAAAGGTTGCCAAGACTCACTTGTAGGTCTTGTGGAGCTCCATGACCTTCTCCTCCAGCTCTTTGGTTTGGTTTGGTGCGAAGCGCAGTTCACTGATGTAGTCGCTGCCTAACTCCTCTGGGTCGTAGTCTCCCAGCTCAGACTGCACTGTGTAGGACCCGAGCACCGTGTGGGTGGCGAAGGAGCAGGGCAGCCGGCCCGACACCACATCATCCCTCAGCTGCAGACACAGGTAGTACCTGAGAGAGGAAAACTAAATGGTTATTGTTGAGCCTTATTAATACTACTTGCTGGCATAATCTGTTATGTTACCTTACTAGACTAAATACTGAGCCATCCCTTTGACTCTAATAATTAGATTCAAAGTGCACTAATAAGAATTTTTAACCAGGGAAACTATTTAAAGTGGACCTATCATGCCGTCTTTCAGGTTTATATTTGCATTTTGTGAGATGCTTCCATCCTTTCATGTTCAAAAAGCTCTTTATTTTTCTCATACTGCTGCAGCACCTCTTTTCACCCTCTGTCTGAAACCAGAGCCCAGTCTGCTCTGATTGGTTAGCTGGACGCTCTGTTGTGATTGGTCAACCACTTAGAGATGTCCCGCCCCTTAACCTCCCGTACAATGTGTTGGAGAGCTAGCCAATAGAAGCGTGAGTTTAACATAGTGACGACACTTTGTTACAGAAGTAAACAAAGCAGTCCAATGGAGGCATTTCAGTCAGGGGGGGAAGTGTGTGGGAAAGAAACTCCCCCTGGAGGGAACAGTGGGATTTTAGCCTCTGAAGACAATTGACATGCACACAAACCCACAGGAAAACGAAAGGCCCAAAAACCACCATTAGGAAGCAAACGCCCAGCAGCCATCACATATTCTCCTAAATGAGTCGCTCACTGACCTTGTGATGTCCTCAGTGAGCTGTGCGGGGTCTGGAGGGTAAAACTTGACGTTGAAAGCAAAGTTCCAGGGACCGGCTGAGAGGCAGAGAGAACATTAAATGATCAGCATTTTATAATTGCATACTCCTCATTTAGCCATTCAGGACAAAATACTTGAGTGGCTTTATTAGATTACTCACTCCTGATCTGCTTCTTCAGCTCCTTGTTAGGGTCTATCCAGTTCTGCAACACACAAGCACAGACGCATGAATCATCACAAAATTGAAAGCAAATTACTAATAACCATTTTCCGTTTCTTTTAAATGACTTGCTAAATTAGATTTTATAGACAGACTTTACAGCCTCAGTCATTCTGCTTTTATTCTTCTTCTTAAAAACGGATTCTTAACTTTTCTTTTACCTTCTGATTCTCTACATCTCTGTATGTGACGCCGAAGTAGTCCCTCTCCATCAGATTGAGGTGGTCGCATACTTTATCAAAGAGCACGTGACCCTTGGCTCGTTTCTGTGAGAAAGACATAAGAAACATTTAAAACAGGGAACGCTTGGAAGTATTTCAATAATTACACATTCAAGTCCACATTAAGGACTTTTGAATCTTAACAACTTACAACTAGATTATCTGGGATCAGAAAAATGAAAAAAAATGGGTGGACATATTGATAAAACTACACCATATTCAATATTATCAACAAAAAACAACCTAAAATAAAAAAGCAAGACAACATAACTGTTTTGTGTCATGATGTTGATTCCAATGGCATCAACAAATAGCACAATCAATAACTCAAAGCCAGCTTCTGCCAAACAGCCACATGAAATACCAAATAGACTGTATAAAAACAGCGTCATGACGCAGCAGTATCACAGAGCCTCTCCTTCGATAGCTGAACCTCAGAGGTATTGCAGCTACTTTTGACAAACTGGGCCACTCTGTATCCATTCCTTCTATAAAAAGCACGGTAGTATAAATACACACTCAAATTCCCTGAGCTCAAGGCGAACAATTAGCAATGTGAATGCTTAAAACCGATCGATAGCTGAGTGCCGGATGTCATCGGCTGCAGCTCTGCCGTCTGCTCCACTGGAGGCAGTCTGACTCTCAGGAGATATTTTATGGTCATGGTGTTTGGCACAAGACAAACGCCTTCCTCCTGCACAGAGACAAAGCTCCTCACGTCTGGATTCTTTCAAAACCTCTGCCACAGATTATTCTAGCAGCAGGAGCAGAAACACACCTGAGCATCTGTCAGATTCATATGTAGTCGGTGACAGTCTTATCTAATATTTTAGAAGATTTCCTCAAACATGTTGGTCAAGTATGTTTCTTAAAGGTCACCTATTATGCAAAATCCACTTTTTTTATGTATCTTATACATAAACATCCCCAGACACAAAGTAGCAGACAGAGAATCAGCACTTTTGAAACAGAGGGGATTATGGGATGCTGCAATGATCTGTTTGGTATTTGGAGCTGTGTGGGATTTTGAACAGAGCCATAAAGCTGCTGGTGGCAGAGAATTAATCCCGCCTAACATTTCTGAGGGAATTAACACACACACACACACACACACACACACACACCACAACACACACACACCACACACACACCACACACACCACACACACACACACACACACCACACACACACACACACACACACACACACACACACACACACACACACACACACACACACCACACACACACCACACACACACACACACACACACACACACACACACACACACACACACACACACACACACACACACACACACACACACACACACACACACCACACACACAACACACACACACACACACACACACAACACACACACACACACACACACACACACACACACACACACACACACACACACACACACACACACACACATATTCTATTTCTCCTGCGGTACTTTATGAAATCAGAAGGAAATTGGAATGAAATGTGATCAACATCAATTTCAAGATTATTATTAATTTTAGAAACAACCTGAGTAGTTGCAGTGCATTTGGAGATGTACAATGTTTATTTTTATTATGATAAAAATGTAAGACCAATTTTAAAGTCAATATTGAGAAAAAGCCAAATCTTATTCTACACTTACTGAAGTAATTGATTACATGACTAATTGTAGCATGAATCTAATTAGAAGACAACATGCATTGCCATTTACTCTAGATGTAGGGATTTATAACAACAACACTGTGGGATGTTCTGTCTCCCTGCACTGAGGCAGAACAACCTCTGAAGCGGAGGAGGTTCAGCTGTAGGAAGAGGAGGACAATATTACTGCAGACATTTTTCCCACAGGAAATTGAGCTGAGCTGGAAATACGAGGTCAGGTGGATAAAAATGTCAAATCTTGACACTATGGAGCGGTTTAAAATGGGATTGGGAAGAGAAGAACTCTCTGGCAATTATCCCGAGGACCTTCTGACCTCAATTGTATCGCTGTGTCAAACACTGTAAGCTGCTCTCTCAGCTGTTTGGATATTTGGTACCACTTTACAATAAGACTAAGGGTTTATAAATGGTTTGTAATTCATTTATTAATTAGGTTGTGAGCACTTTATAAATCATTAATAAGCTTTTATAAGACATGAGATAAACAGGGCAACTGTGACCGGTTGCTTGCCAAATAGTGAGCCCACATTTATCTGTACTCATAAACCTTATTAGAAATGTTAGTAACTCGTAAATAAATGGTCATAAAGAGATGCCAAGAAACATCAAGATGGAAGGGGGGAATCAACTCAGTGAACAACAGATACCAAGGATGCTGGCTGATGAAGAAGACGAAGTAAGCTAGGTAGCCAATATAAGGCTTAGTCATCTTGCCAAATAGTGAGCCTGTGTTGATGTTAGAACTGGTTTATAAATGGTTCTTAAGGATTAATAAAGTGTTTACAACCTAATTCATAACCTAATTATAAACCCTTTATAAGGGTAGTCTTATTGTAAAGTGGTACTGGATATTTTAATGTCAAATGTTTTTGTTGTATTGCCTTATAAGAAGCTATGGCAACGTCTCTGGTACGCAATCAACTAATTAGCCACATTTTCGCTTCCTTTTTCATTGTTCCTTCATCAGTGAAGACGTGGTCTCTGTGATTGCGAGTATTGTTCCAGGACCAGCATCATCCAGGTGCGACTCGTGCTCTCTGCATCACCGGCACAGCTTGATTTCCTATTATCACTCTTTATAAAAATGTTCCTGATTGTCACGAGTCGCGGCCGTGTGAACAAATCTGAAGAAATTGCTTTTCAGACAGTGCTGTGTGACTCACATGAAAGTCTTTCTTAATGTTCCCTCAGCAGGACTGCATTTACTCACTTCTTCTATCCTGGGATTGCTTCTCTATTACACTGCAATCCTGACGGAGGGTCTGCACACTCAACTCTCAGTTCTCTTTCATTGTATTCTTCAATAGTTATGTTTCCACCAGCCGTATCTTCCCACACAAAGGAATTGAGGTCTTCTTTAGATTAACATTGTATATATTTATTTTAATTCCACTACGTATTTTGGATTTTTTGGATTGTGCACACAACTAGTCTTACTAAATATAGTTTAATTAAACGTTTTATCTATAAAATATAACATTACATTGCATTTAGCTGACGCTTTTATCCAAAGCGACTTACAATAAGTAATATTGGTAATATAAATAAATGGTAATAAAAGAGAAGCAAAATGTCCCACTGCCAATGATTTTTTGTAATTAACCTCATTGCATATCAGTTTGTGTGTGACATGTTTCATAAAGTGACTTAAATGTAATGTATTATTATTAAAATGTACAATTATTATGTTATTACTGCACATAGGTTTATATCTGAATACTGTGGGGGAAACTTCTGTGTAGCAATGCAGTGGGAGTCACCGACTCATGAAGGAGAAAGAGTTTCGGAAATAAAATTCCTTGGAGTAATCATAGACAATAATTTAAGTTGGAAACCACATATAAGCTACATCAAAGCCAAAATATCCAAATCAATAGCAATTCTGAATAAAGCCAAATACCTAATTAATCAAGCTTCTTTGTTTATGCTGTACTGCTCCTTCATACTTCCATACATGATGTATTGTGTGGAAGTTTGGGGGAACACATATAAAACAAATACACATCCTATCTTCATCCTGCAAAAAAGAGCCATACGAGTTATACATAAAACTACGTACAGAGAACCAACAAATACATTATTCATCAAACTAAAAGACCTGGTTGACTATAAAACTATTCAAATGATGTTCAAAGCTGCAAATCAACAATTACCTCATAATATCCAGGGACTTCTCACATGGAGAGAAAGCATGCACATGTTGAGAGGAAACTGCATTTTCAAAAAACCAACAGGCAGGAACAGGGAGACAGAACACAGAGCACAGCAGCCAAGGTTACAGGTGCGTGTGCTCAGTCATGACAGTTTGAACTCAAAGTTATGGACCTTGGAAAATATTTCCCCAACAAATACAATTAAAAGATATTAAGTTTACAAAGACATACAATTAGAAACTGGTGCAACTAGTGAACATGAGTTTTGTAATTGTTTTGATGATTTATGATGTTGACATAAAACAAATAAAAGGACTTATGAAGAGAATGGGAGCTTTAAGTTTAGCAACAGGTTTCTATTTTTTATAAGAACATTTTTTGAATATCTCAAGTTTTCTGGACAGATGAATACATATGTATATGTTTCTTTGCTCCTTCCTCATGCTCTCATCTCCTCTAAGGCCCTAGCCACACAAGGACGATAACGGTCATATCCGCTACAGTTCTCTATCATATAGACCAGTGGTTCTCAAACTTTTTTCAATAATGTACCCCCTTTGAAAAGAAAATTCAGCCACGTACCCCCTGATCAGCGCAAACACAATTTGTTAAGGAAAAAAAGCCTATATAAAGAGGTACAGTACAGCGCTGCACCATCAGTGTCTGATTTATTAAAACAACAACATTGTAACTGATAAACACTTAAATGCTACATTTCAAATGTTTACAATCCATCACTAAATGCATGGCAAACCAATTTTAGCATCATGCAATAACACTGAGACGACATTAGCTGCATTGAACTCATCTTTTTAATAAGTTGTACTTACAATGTAGTGAGACACATGGGCTTGTCATTCTGACAGGGAGGCAAACTGCAGTTATTACACTTCGCGTTTTGAAATATGTGTAACTCTGTTCATATAAAACCCACGCTGCTCAAACTTACGTTACTTTTCCTAAAATTGGTATATTTATTTATTTTGGGGCGTGGGGAACGAAGAGAACAAAATATATGAGCATTTTATGAGCATGGGATTTTGACCCCTCATTTAAACGTGCATAATGCATACTTTGCGGCCACAAGCCATTGCCAAGCAACGCTTATTGTTTAGGTGTCCTTTGATAAGCATGTAGTCAAATAATTTAACTACAACTAGCTAGATCTGATAGATTTGGACATAAACGCGAGTGAAGTATAACCGGACGCGAGA